AACTTCTCTGCAAGACAATGATCTATTTCTATCTTGGACATGATGACCTTGATAAGGAAGCCAGGGAGAAATTTGGGATGTTTCTGCTTTCTCTCTTCTAGGTCGATCGCTTGCTGAAGGCATCTTATAGAGATTTAAGGAATAAGGTTTAAATATAATCCAGAGTAGCTCAATAATATAAGAATATAACAGCTTTGCGCTTGATGTTACAAAAAGAGCCAGTATTGTTTAAATTGCAACTCCAATTTAACCTTCTTTTTTCCCCTGCAAAACTTCCTTTTAGTTGTAATAAGCTAAGAAAAGCAAACAAAAAAAAAAAATACCAACTATTTTACTTTATTCTATTGAAAATATATATTATGCAATCCAAAATGTACTAAATTATATAATTTAAACCAATAAGATTGGATGTCCAACACGTAGTGACTTACTGATTACCCTAACGAGAAAAGTACTTTGATATTTAATTCTTAAGTTTTCTTTTTTCGAAATTCTCTATTAAAAAAAAAAGACAGAAGGGTTGGGTAAACTCTTCTCATTTTCTTTGGGTGCTTAGCTCTGAGTTTAGTTGAAGGGCCAGCCAGCTAGAATGAGTTTGGGTTCTTTTCTAGTTCTCCTCAATAAATGGACCTTTTGCAGTCGAAATATACTTTGGCGGAGGCCGCTTTGGAAGCTCAGACGCACTGCGCTGAACATAAATTATCTGTGGACCAAAAGAATAAAAAAGATAATAATTTCTGAATTTGAAAATTCAGTTCTAACTAATAATAAATGTTTAGTTGGACAATAATGCCTTATAGCTGTAATTGTATACTTAAATTTATTAAATATATTTTATATATTTTTAAAATAATAAAAAAATATAAAAATTAAAATTCTAAAAAATATTCTCTAAGGAAACCAAAATAAATTTTCCAGTCCTTAATAAGTCACTTTGCATATGATCAAAAAATAAATCACTTTCGATACCATCAAAACAAAATAATTAAATAAATCACTTCGGATGATTGATTCATTAAAATGTAAAATGTCAATTATAGCCCGTATTGACAATGGTTTTTTTCACCTGTTTTTTTCTCGTTTTAATCTTTACCTGTTCGAACTTAACACACTTTTTTTTAATAATGGGTTTTTTATTTTACAATTTAAATTATAAAATTTAAATTATTAGATAGGATAGCAACTTAGACCAATCTATTATTTAATAATTTTAAATTATGTAATTTGGATTGAACAACTTTTTTTTTTTTATTGATCAGCTTTCTTCTCTTTAGGATTTGTTTTCTAACTTTGTTGCTTACATTGATTTTTTTTTTTTGAACATAAGCAATTCAAAGGAGAATAAAAAAAAAAGAAGTGAGATTTGAACCTTACACTCTAAAATAAAATACTCTTTAACAATATTTAAATGATCCTTTGGGTTACTTGGATTTCTCACCTAAACTTAATTGAATACTCTTACTTTGATAATAAGGGACAGAGGCTATATGGTTAGGGAATCTAGCTTGCATCAGAGAATATAAAATTGGGT